GCCAACGGTTTTACAATAGACCCCATATTTGAGGAGGGGGCTCCTTTCAAAGTGGGGGTGTCTGGACATGTAAAAATGGATATACTGTAGCTCAAAAACGATTAAACATAGGAGCTTCAGATTTTAGTTGGTTGTTTATCTCTAATGAAGGGCAATCTATCAGGTAAACCGAGCGCTCCTCCTCCTCTGTCCGGGGCTGGTGTGGGGTGAGGCGGACAGCTCAGCTGAGGCTGCTGGAGCTGGGGCTCAAGGTCCTGATCCAGGGAGCCAACACGAGTCAGTCCCAGACTGAGCTGACTTGATCAAGTCTCTCTCTTTCTCTGGTGAGGAGGTGGGGTGAAAAATCCTCCACCTCAGACCGTTTAGAGATGTAACTATCTGTGTCGCTGTGGTCACTGTCCATATACGTAACATCAATTATGCTAATGCTAGCTGTCACATTCTCTCGTCCTGGCCACACCTCCACTCTCTAACCCCCTCCCCTACCTACTTTGATGCATTTTTCAAATTTAGCCTTGGGGCGGAGTTATCTTTTCACAGGGGGGTAAGATACACTTTAACCTCAAAATAAAACAGTATGTGTGTTGCATTAAAATCAGTGATAAACAGAGTACAATTCCTTCAATTATAAAAACACRATTTTAAAAATAGAATTTGTAACTAAAGCAGATACATATCTGATGTTTGTCAAAATGAACCTCAGTCTAAACCAGTGGTTTATAATCCTGGTCCTGGAGGACCATTATCCTGCATATTTTAGTTGTTTCAATGYGCTTCAGCAGGTTTTTATGCTCTGCAGATGCCTGTCAATCAAATCAGGTGTACCAAAGCAGGAAAACATCCTAAACATCCAGGATAGTGCTCCTCGAGGACCAGGATTGAGAACCACTTGTTTAAACAGTCATACTGCATTTCTCAAACGTTTATGTATGTGAGCTGGGGGTATAGAGATTGATACCATTAGTCATGCAGACTCCACCACACATACGRCYACACATCTTCAGCTACAGAATAGTCATCCACTTCCTGGATAATTGAGAATTCACAGAAACTTCTGATGGTCAGACCATGTCCATACTAAAGTGGATGGATATTTTTGTTATCTTTACTTGGAGCACATCACGTCACTCTTGTTCCATAAAATACATGCTTCTCCAGAGCAGCCAACCAGAGGCAGGTTAAAATGTAAACAGTGAACTAAACATGCATGTCAGATAAGTATTTAACTGATTCTGATTGAACAACAGCTTCAGACATGCTAAGTAGCATCCACCATAGYGACCTTTTTCCTCCTGTAAACACCGAGTGGGATGTGACGTCTCATCACTCTTTTTCCAAAAATACACACTTTACCAGAGCAGTCAAGTAAACAAACATGTCAGATAATTGTTTTACTGGTTCTGATTGAACAACTTCAGAATGGACAAGCTAATAAGTAACATCCACTGTTGTTTACTCCTGTAAACAGAGAGCTGAATTTGGGCATTTTGAACAAGTTCAAGTACTTGTAAAATGCTGGTAACTGGTCCAATACTGGTATCAGTGCATCCCTAATAAATGTTTATATGAAGAGGTGGGAAGTGACTGGTGTTCTCATTTCAGCTTTAAAATGAAATCAATTTAAGTAGACTTTACAATTCTAAATTATTTTTATATAATCTCTAATAAGACAGCTGCTTTAATAAAACTGGAATGTCTTTTGTTTTAGTGTGCCACATCATGATGGTTAGTAATGGCCACCTCTTTTTGAAAACTTCCTGCAGGTCCCTCCAGGTCTAATTTATTCCTCCAGACATTAACAAACTTCTCTGTGGTCCACCTTGATGTGGTTCATTGAAACATTCAGTTATTTTCATTCTGAGTGTTTGAAGATGTGCAGTTTGAGTAAGACCTCCTGCTTGTCTCTTCCTCCAGATGAAGTCAACAGAGGTGGACCAGGGGCTTTTCACAGACAGCTACTGCAAAGTGTGCAGCGCTCAGCTCATCTCCGAGTCCCAGAGGGTCGCCCATTATGAGGTGAAGACGCCGTCAAACATGACATCACACACTGTTACACTTTGCTGCTCCTCTGAAGCTAATTCAATCTCAGGATCAGGCTGTTTCGGTTCTGCCTCTGGAGACATGAGGCCATATTGTGCAGCTGAACCCTGCAGCTGTCAGGAAACACACAGCACACCTTCATTTCAGCTCTTCTCCCATGTCCTGGAGAGGAAGAAGGATTTAAAAAGAGCTTTTTTCTGGTGTTTATGCAGAATTTCTAAAAACATCAAATGTTTAACCTAAGAATTTGTACAATTTCAAAAAATATATATTTTTGTACAGATTACAATGAAAATCTTACAGTTTGAACAAATAAGATTACACATAAAACATCCACAGTCTACAGGTTCAAAAAACTTCACCTACATATTTGCTAGGGGTGCAACAGTCCACTTATCTGTATCAAACAGTTCAATGCAGTGCTTTAGGTTTAATACACACTATGTATGGAACAATACATATTTTTAAATTTTATTTTATCAGCTTGTCTTCTGAAGATGCTCTGTGTTGAAGGATCAGTGGATCTGTGTTTGACTGCTCCACCTAGGCTGTTGTTTCAGCAACATTTAATTTTAAAACTGTACTTTTGAGGTTAAACAAATGTTCATAATTAGTTTCAATAAATTACAAGCTAAGAAGAATATGGGCATTTCCTTTTTTATATTGAAAAACTATCAAACCATGAGACTAAAGTATTGAACCGAATCATGATTTTTCTGTATCGCTGCAGCCCTAATATTTGCCACAGTTAACAGTATGAATTTGCACAGAGGTCCACATGTTGAACACTGACACAATATACATATCAGGTTTTAGCAGGCAAATAACCCAGGGCGCTGGCAGGTTAAAAAAATCACAAACAAGGCCTTTAATTTAAAGCAAAAGGCTGGCAGTGCAGCACAAAAACTCACCTGGATAAGTCGTTGCAAGAAACACAGAAGCAGGACACTGTCAGGGTTGACAGACCAATGATCTGACAAAGACGGATGACAAGACTCAGAATATAAATAAAACAAATTAAGAGACAATGGGAAACACCTGGGGAGACACAAGAGGAAACAAGTGAGCGTGGGCGGGGCTGGAGGCAAGACAGCAGGGAAGAGAAACACAGGGGAACAGTGAAAACACTAGAAAATGAAGAGAAAACACAGATCATGTCACAAAGTTTCTTTTCTGACCTGTTTACTGAAATATATTGAAGTTCTAGTTAATTAATGTACATGAGCATGAAGTCCAGACTTTAACATTTTATTTGAGTGTATCAACATAAAACATCGATGAAGACTTTAGGAGTTCAGCTCTTTAAAAAGCTTTCAGGCAGCTCTACATGTCTACCACAGGAGACTGAAGGATTTCTCCAACACGAATGAGTCAAAGCAACACTCTGGAGATGTTTCTGATGAGTGAATGGCACTGGCCATGTTTCCATCAAAGTTTTTAATGCACATTTTGAAGTATTGTGGCAGCCTCTCCCTGGGCTGCCATCTTATTGAGTGCCCCAATGATCCGAGGAGCTATGTTGTCGGGGGCTTCATGCCCCTGGTAGGGTCACCCAAGGCAAACAGGTCCTAGGTGAGGGATCAGACAAAGTGCTGCCCAAAGACTCATATGATGAATAAGATAAATGGAGTCAGTGTTCCCTCGCCCGGACGCGGGTCACCCAGGCCCCACTCTGGAGCCAGGCCTGGAGGTGGGGCACGTTAGCGAGAGCCTGGTGGCCGGGCTTTTGCCCATGGAGCCCAGTTGGGCAGAGCCCGAAGAGGAGACGTGGGTCCCCCTTCCCATAAGCTCACCACCTGTGGGAGGGGCCGTAGGGGTCAGGTGCAATGCTTGCTGGGCAGTTGTCGAAGGCATAGACCTTGACGGTCTAATCCTTGGCTAAATAAGCTGGCTCTAGGGATGTGGAATGTCACCTCTCTGGTGGGGAAGGAGCCTGAGCTGGTGTGTGAGGTTGAGAGGTTCCGACTAGATATAGTTGGACTCACATCGACGCACTGCTCTGGAACCAGTCTCCTCGAGAGGGGTTGGACACTCTTCCACTCTGGAGTTGCCCATGCTGAGAGGCGCCAAGCAGGAGTGAGCATACTTACTGCCTCCCATCTCGGTGCGTGTACATTGGGGTTCACCTCGGTGAATGAGAAGGTTGCCTACGAGTGGGGGTGACGGGTCCTGACTGTTGTTTGTGCCTATGTGCCTAACAACAGTTCAGATTACCCACCCTTTTTGGAGTCCTTGGAGGGGATGCTGGAGAGCACTCCTAATGGGGACTCCCTCGTTCTGCTGGGGGACTTCAGTGCTCACGTGGGTAATGACAGTGAGACTTGGGGAGGTGTGGTTGGGAGAAACGCCACCCCCCCGATCTGACCCAGAGCTGTGTTTTGTTATTGGATTTCTGTGATCGTCATGGATTGTCCATAACAAACACAATGTTCAAGCATAAGTGTGTTCATATGTGCTCTTGGCAACAGGACACCCTAGGCTGCAGTTCGATGATCAAATTTGTTGTAGTTTCATCTGATCTACGGCCACATGTTTTGGACACTTGCGTGAAGAGAGGGGTGGAGCTGTCAACTGACCACTACCTGGTGGTGAGTTGGCTCCGTTGGTGGGGGAGGATGCCGGTCAGACCTGGCAGACCCAAATGTATAGTGAGGGTCTGCTGGGAACRTCTGTTAGAGTCTCCCGTCAGACGGAGTTTCAACTCACACCTCCGGGAGAACTTTGAACACGTTCCAGGAGAGGTGGGGACATTGAGTCCGAGTGGGCCATGTTTCATGCCTCCATTGTCGAGGTGGCTTACCTGAGCTGTGGCCGTAAGGTTGTCTGTGCCTGTCATGGCGGCAACCCTCAAACCCGCTGGTGGATATCGGCTGTGAGGGATGCTGTCAGGCTGAAGAAGGAGTTCTATCTGGTCTTTTTGGCCTGTGGGACTCTGGAAGCAACCAATAGGTATCTGGTCACTGAGGTGGTTAAAAAGCTCCTCGGTGGCAGGGCATCGGGGGTGGATGAGATTTGTCCGGAGTTCCTTAAGGCTCTGGATGTTGTGGGGTTGCGTTGGTTGACATAACTCTACAACATCGCTTGAACATCGGGGGTAGTTCCTATGGATTGGCAGACTGAGTTGGTGGTCTCCCTATTTATAAAGGGGAACCGCAGAGTGTGTTCCAAATATAGGGGGATCACACTCTGAGCCTCCATGGTAAGGTCTATTCAGGGGTCCTGGGGCCTCATGCATAAAGGATTGCGCAGCTTTCACACTAAAAGTGGACGTACAGAAAAATTTAGAAAAGTGCACTGCACCAAAATATTCAGATGTATAAAACTGTGCGTACGCATGTTCCTGCGCAGCTTTCCTTTATACATCCCAACGAATGTGGAACTGGGCGCACGTGAGAAACCTCCCCTGACATGCCTCCATATAAATATGTAAAATAGATGTAAATGTGTCCAGCGCGTGAGATTCTCCTCAGATACCTCTTTGTGAGATCAGAAATGATTTTTAGATGCAGGGAAAATATACATTAAATGGAGAATGTGTGAGAAAACAGTCTAAATAAGTAGTGGGGTATCATTATTTTATGTGGCACATTCGCATGGGATAACCAAAGCCTGAGATTTTCTTGAAATTTACAGACATCTCCAGAATGTGATGTTGAAGCCTGTTTAGTTGTTGTCTATTTAGTTGAACACCGTGTTGAACGGACGTTTTAAAAAATAAAAAATAAAATAAAAATAATAAACATCACATTATCCATTTTTTCTGATCTCCTTTGCTCCTTGGCGTTACAGCAGGCGCTGTCATCTCCACGGACAGACCCCCACCCCCACGCGCAGGTACGAGTGGTAGCCTACGGATTTTTAGCAAAAAATATAGATTTTTGAGGCTCATTAGACAGGTAAACGTCCAAAGGCGTTGCCATATGAACACCTTCCAAGCTGGCGAGGGTGCACGCATGCCTGGCACGAGAATCTACCCAAAGCACAAGCCTGCTGCGCTATGGCCACAAATCAACTCAGCATCAGCCAGAAGGCTACAAACAGAAAAAAAATAATTATTCTTACCATACAGTGAGCCACCATTTGCATCCGATTTTGCTCCCTCTCTTCAGCCTTTTTATTTATCATTATTATTTTTTATGCGGCACGTAATGTGTCGGGTTTTTTCGGCCCGGGACCCAAAAGGTTTTCAACTATGTGACAAAAATATAAAAACAGTTTACAATTTATGACTGGACTGAGGTTATTTTGATCATTTTTAGGCTGATCTATTTTCTTGTCTGAGGTTAAATGATTTTCAGTCCTGGGGTTCAGTTTCATGATCGTTTGAGTTTAAATAATAATAACTCAAACTAAAACAAAAATCTAACAGCGTGTTCAGACGCTCCTTACATACAGAAAACACAACAAAGTCATATTTCTGTGGATTCAGGTCAGATTCATGACTTTGTGGGTTAAAACTGTGGACTGAAAAACTTTGTGTGGCTGCTGCACATTCTCACAGCAACATTGGTTTTGATACATCACAACGTGGGCGTAGAATCTGGCACACGTAACTTTTTGTGTGCACTGTTTATACATAAGGCCCCTGGAGAGGAGGGATCGTCGGATAGTGGAATCTCGGATTCAGGAAGAGCGGCGTGGTTTTCGTCCTGGTCTTGGAACAGCAGACCAGCTCTACACCCCCAGCAGGGTCCTGAAGGGTGCGTGGGAGTTCGCCCAGCCAGTCTACATATGCTTTGTGGATTTGGAGAAGGTTTCTGACCGTGTCCCTTGGGGACTCTTGTGGGGCATACTCTGGGAGAATGGAGTACCAGGCCCATTGAAATGGGCTGTTAGGTCCCTGTACGACYRGTGCCAGAGCTTGGTCCGCATTGCCGGTAGTAAGTCGGACTCGTTTCTGGTGAGAGTTGGACTCTGCCAAGGTTGCCCTTTGTCACGGATTCTGTTCATAACTTTTATGGACAGAATTTCTAGGAGCAGCCAAGTTGTTGAGGGAATCCTTTTTGGTGACCTTAGGATCACATTTCTGCTTTTTGTGAATGATGTGGTCCTATTGGCTTCATCAGATCTTGATCTCCAGCTCTCACTGGAGCGGTTCGCAGCCGAGTGTGAAGCGGCCGGGATGAGGATCAGTGCCTCCAAATCTGAGACCATGGTCTTGAGCCAGAAACCGGTAGGGTGCCTTCTCCGGGTCGGGGAGCAAGTCCTGCCCCAAGTGGAGGAGTTTAGGTGTCTCGGGGTCTTGTTCACGAATGAGGGAAGAATGGAGCKCGAGATGGACAGACGGGCGGAAACAGCACGATTAGAAAACACTTCCTCMATTTCACAAAAGAAGCTTTTACGCTTGCTTGAGCTGGGTTTTGGCTTTTTTGAAAAAGTTAATGCGCAAAAGGAGAAGTGGAAACACATTTGCCAAATTAGTTCTGACGTAAGGAACATTTACCTCACATAACTGATCAGCTGTTCCCGCTGGCTGTCCAGTACTGTTACCAGAGGGACTGCAGTCACAACTGCAGCTGGACCATCCTCCTGCTGTCAGCGTCTTCTTATTCCCGTAATGTGAACAGAATCACATTTCTTTCTCTACATCTCCAGACAGCGTGTAACATTGCCAGAACTAGTAGAATAACAGAATAATTACAACTTTCCTGATAGTAGCAACACGTTCCTTATAACTTCTCTCCATTGTCCTGAGATGCGTGACCTGCGGGTTTGCAACTTTACTTCCTGTTTACTACACATATGCGTAACATCACCATCTGATGTAATTACACTTTGCATAGCCTGGTTGATTCACTTCAAGGCAGTTGATGGAAACACGTCTGATATGCATTTCGTCTTGTTTTCCTTTTTGCAAAATAAAAAATCACTCAAAATAAGAATTTAAATTAGATGAAAACACGGCTATTGTAACATGATATAAAGCTCAAAGTTGATATATGCATAATGAGCCCCCACACACACCACCACCCCACCCCTGGCGCTTTAAGAGGAGTGCAGCTCAGGTTGGTGTGGCAGATGAAATGCATCAACTTTTAAAGTATGTCAAAAGTTTGCGGAACTTTGTCCCTGAGGCAACTTTTCTTTGTAAAGTCAAAGTGAGTTCCCTGCAGGTGCTGACGTGCTGCTGTGGAGAGCTATTTAAAGCAGGCTTTAGCCTGTTTAATGTGTGAGGGGAAACAGGAGAACACCTTTGTTCTTCAGGAAGAAGCTGCGCTGATGCAAATCAAATATTAATTTTGTTATTGTGTGGTGAATGCTGAACTGGAGATGGGTGGTAGTTAGACTCTCAGTCAGCACAGTTAAGGTTTAATACATCGTGACATGTTCAGGTCAACATGACAACAACAAAACAAGATAACGTATGGAGAGTTTAAACTGCAGAAGATGAGCTTTTATTGTTTCATTTGCCCAACTGTGTTTGGATTATTCCTGTTTGTTTCTGCTGTGTTCAGTCCATGAGCTATTTGTCCACAGAGGACACTGAGTGAGGCTCCACCTCCTTCAGTCTGAAACAGAGCTGTCTGAAAAGCTTCTACTGCCTCTGTGTTCTTGTCCAACCAGCATTGGGCTGTGTTTTCTGGAGTCTTGTCCCTTCAGGTCCACCTTCAGCTCCGACAATCTGACTTTAAGGTCAAACTGTTTCATACCAACTTTCAGGCCCTTCATTTCATCTTCTATAGATTCTGAGAGAACKAACTCTACCTATGTGCTGTCATCGTACATGTCACACTGTGTCATCGTACATGTTACACTGTGTCATCATACATGTCACACAGTTTCATCATATATGTCACAGTTTCATCATACATGTCACACAGTGTCATCATACATGTCACACAGTTTCATCGTACATGTCAAAGTGTGTCATCATACATGTCACACAGTTTCATCATACATGTCACATAGTGTCATCATACATGTCACACAGTTTCATTGTACATGTCACACAGTTTCATCATACATGTCACACAGTTTCATCATACATGTCACACAGTTTCATCATACATGTCACATAGTGTCATCATACATGTCACACAGTTTCATTGTACATGTCACACAGTTTCATCATACATGTCACACAGTTTCATCATACATGTCACACAGTTTCATCATACATGTCACATAGTGTCATCATACATGTCACACAGTTTCATTGTACATGTCACACAGTTTC